GAAAGAAGAGATAAATGATTAGAAAGGAGGAACCTACTGCAACCAAGAAAGAAGCGCTAAGACTGGAGTACATCATTTGGACCCAGGGTTCTTGTGCTGAGGAACTGCTAGATCCAAGGAAAGATTGATAACAAGACATTTGGAGATCTCCCAAGAATACTGAGCCGAAAGGAGAAAAGGCCCTTTCCCCAGAGCTGGCAGAAAGAGAAAGCCTTCCTCTAAACCCAACACTCTGAATTTGGACTTTTATCTTCCTAAACCATGAGAGAATACATTTCTGTTTATTAAAGGCATCCACATGTGGTATTTCTATTACTAATAACTAAGGCAGTACCCATCTCTACTCTCAAACCCTTCTTATAAACCTTTGTGTGTTGCTCATGCACTTCATTGTCAGTTTCCTCTGTGTGTAACTCCATCTACATGCCTGTGTATGAACCTTTTGTTTAGTCTTGGTGACGTTTATGGATGCCATTAGCATAGTGAGCACAAGTTTGACCCTTAGAGCCATCAGGGTGTCCACCATAGTAAGGAAGTCTTCTCATGGGGAGAAGACTTGTGTGGCACATTGAGTTAAGTTTTAGACTGCTAACTACAAATTCTCCAGTTGCTCTGTAATTAACAAATAAGGTTATCTGCTCCCTTAAAGATTGACACTCCTCAGAAACCTGTGGAGCAGTTCTGCTCTGGCCTGTAAGGTTGCTAGGAGTCAACATTAACTCTGTGGCAATGGGTTTGTGTGGTTTGGTGGCTCCTGGAGGATGAAACTGTTCACAGACTGAGAATGAATAACTATAGGTCACTCACCAGTATAGACAGTTACCTCACAAAACGCACAATGTGAAACAAAGTAAGACCCCGAAATCCTTCAGAATCTTTGCAGGTTATAAATATGTATATTGACTAGAATTCTCATTTATTACACAAATTCACAACATATACAAAAGGGTATATATAGAAGCACCTATAACTTCTCTGGCATGTTCAGCAGCCCACAGAATAACTTAACTTCAAATGATTTGGGCACAGAGGAAAACTCTAGTAACCTGGACACAGAATCAGCTGTTCTGAACCAGAGCTTGCCCTCTGTGTAATACTGCCCTTCTGGTTGGGATGGGGCTCAGGGGTTCTCAAAGCATTTAGTGTCCTGTGCCCGACCCCACCCACAAGTGTTCAGGGTATTTGAATATTCATGACAGGTTGACAGGTGGTTAGTGGATGCAGGAATGAGTCATTTTTTAAAAAATAGAGAAACTTGTAAGGTCAGGTGAGATACCTGCTTTCCAATTTGCTTTTTGATGTCAGTTAGGGGGCATTTACCTAAGGTGGGCTAAAGGAAACTGTCAAGCAGTAAAATCCTGTCTTCAGTATACTTCTTAGTAACCACGTTTGTATTAGTGGAACTTCTCAGTAATTTTCTTGTACAACATCACCATAATCTCTAATCACAGTGCCTTGCATTTGTATTTTGCTCTGCTTGGTTTTTTAGCACCCTGTCTGCCTTGGTTACAGATGTATAGATGGCATTATCCTCCTGGTTAAAGGGGAAGGAAATGGAGGCTAGCTAGACAACCTGAGTATTCTGGGTCAGTTCTAGGGCTCTTGATCAGCTTTTACGTTTGTTTACATCCAGAAAGGTTACAGGTATTTGGGTGCTTTGTGATCTGATTTCTAACCTCACTCAGTCACTTATTGAAAACGTCATGTGTGCCAGATTCTGTGCTGTGTTTTTCATATCCTGCTAAGTGTCAGCAACTGCCCAAAAGAGAAATTTGAGGTTCAGAGAGGTGAAGTAACTTTCCAGAGATAGCCTGGCTGCTGTAAGGTGAAGTAGGGACTAGACCCAAGGACAAAAGATGCCAGACCCTGAGCCTTTGACACTTTTCACCTTTCTGAGGTAAACGTGGTTTCTGTCTTTGAGGAATAAAAGTCCATTCATAGATGTGTTGTTGTAGGTGCCATTTAGTTGGTTTGATTCATACCGTCTCTGTGCACAACAGAACGAAACCCTGCCTGGTCCTGCACCAGCCTCAAAATTGTAATGTTTGAACCCATTGCTGCTACCCCTTGGTTGGGGATCTTCGTCTTTTTCACGGACTGTCTACCTTACCAAGCACGATGCCCTTCTTCAGGGACTGGGCCCTCCTGATAACATGTCTGAATTGTGAGAGAGAGTGTCTTGCTTCTGAAGGAGCACTCTAGCTGTACTTCTTCCAAAACAGATTTGTTTGTTCTGGTAGGTAGCCCATGGAACTTTTAATATTCTTCTCCAACACTGTAATTCAAATGCTTGGATTCTTCTGTGGTCTTTATTCTTTATTCATTGTCTGTTTTCAGTGCATATGAATCTGACCGACATCTCTGCTCCATCACAAGCTCTCATCTTTGTTCTTTAACACTTTGAAGAGGTCTTTTGCAACAAATTTGCCCAGCACGATAAGGCATTTGATTTCTTGACTGTTGCTTCCATGAGTGTTGGTTGTGGATCCAAGCAAAATGAGTCTTCGATACCTTCAATCTTTTTATCATTTATCATGATGTTAAAGGAGCTTTGGTAGTGTAGTGGTTATGAATCAGTCTGCGAATCTCAAGGTCAGCAGTTCGAAACTACCAGCTGTTTCCGCGGGAGAAAGGTGAGGCTTTCTGCTCCAGTAAAGATTTGCAGTCTCGGAAACCCTATGCAGGGCCGCTATGAGTTGGAATCAACTCCACAGCACATAACCAACCACCACCACCACCGTCATCAACATCATGATGTTATTTGCTGGTCCACTTGTGAGAATTTTCACTTTGTTTAAATGGAAGTGCATTCCATGCTAAAGGCTATAGTCTTGAGTCATTATCAGTAAGTATTTTAAGTCCTCTTTGCTTCCAGCAAGCCAGGTTGTATCATCTGCATGTCACAGATTGTTAATAAGTCTTCCTCCAAACCTGATGCCACTGTTCTTTGTATAAGATTCCTGAATATATGATAATTAGGTAATCTTTTGAGTGTCAAGCCAGTACTCAGGTAGTTAATGATTTGAACGTGTAAAAGGAAAAGGTGGCAGTACCTTATGGTCTAAAAATGCTTTGTGCAGAGCTGGGATTTGAACTAGCAAAGGATAATAAGAGCAACTTAAAAATGTACTGTAATAATGGGGAGAAAGCACAGGTGGGAATTGCTGGCATGTTTGGTGGGAATTAATGTGTTTAAAGGAAGCACAGCCGGTTTGCTAGGCCACAAAGAGGAGGAGGCCTGGAAAGGTAGGCTAGAGTCCTGCTGAAGAGGACTGTTCCTTGTTATTCAGCTTGAACGTTATTTCTTTTTTGGGGGGGCTTAATTTGTATTTATTTGCTAATCTTTTTTTTTTTTAAGGTTTTTATTGTGGATTGAGTGAAAGTTTACAGGGCACAACATCAGTTTCACATTCAACCATTCATATAACTTGTTTTATTACATTGAGTATAATCCATCCCCTCCATATACCAGAGTTAACAGTGTTTCTCTGTATCCTCTTTAGCTTTTTTTTGGGGGTGGGGGTGGGGGTGGAAAAACTTTGCCTTTTTGGACTTTACTGTCTCAGCTTCTAGGGAAGGTTTTTACATTTATCTGTGGATATCAAGGGCTCATGTATGAGATTACTAGGAAGCATACTGAATAATCAGATGAGGGCCAGTTTCCTATGTCTGCTAGGTGACCAAAGTCTGATCCTCAGAGCCAAAATACATTTCTTCTCTAGAATGGTTTCAGTTGACCTGTAGTTGATTTTCAAGTCCTTGTTAGCACAGTGCTTAAAGCACTAGACTGCTAGCCCAAAGCTTGGCATATAAACCTACTAACCTCTTAGTGGGAGAAAGATGTGATAGTCTGCTTCTGTAAAGATTGTTGTGGTTGTTAAGTGCCATTGAGTCAGTTCTGACTCATAGAAACCCTGTTTAGGAGTTTCAGGTTGCAGCTGGTGAGTTTGAATTCCCGGCCTTGCAGTTAATAGTCCAGTGCCACACTAGCCTTGGAAATCCTTCAGGCCAGTTTTATAGGGTCTCTAGGAGTTAGGATCAAACAGTGAGTTTGTTTTGTTTTGTGGTTGATTTTATCTTAGTGGGATAAAATCATAAGTTGCTTTCTTAAGATCTCTCACATTTCCTAGGAAGAAAGAAAGGTAGTTTAATAAATTTTCTGCTTTCTAACTTCATAAATAATTCTTATGGTTTCTTATGCTCTTTTGATACACTTAGGTTTTAAGTTTTTGTACATAGACTAATAATTTAGTAAGCATTCTCTTTAGGCCAGGAAGATAGGCTTAATGCATATCAGTAGTATTGGGAGATTCTGGGGAGTCCTTGTGAGTGCTCTGGACTAAAGCACTGAACTGCAAGGCCAGTTTGACCACAAGGTTGGTAGTTCAAACCACAAGGTCGGCAGATCAAATTCACCAGCCGCTCCTTGGAAACCCTATACAGGGTTGCTGTGAGTTGGAATTGACTCAACAACACTTAACAACAACAGCAACAACAACAAGGAAGGAGGATACTCCTGGTAAACTTGGACATAGAAATTGGAGCTTCCCACAAATGTGAGGGAGTTAGAGGTCGAGTGATTGACTCTAATGATCAAACATAGATAGCACTTTGATCAGGAAACTAAAAGTTGTTTTTAAGCTTTGGGTTGTAAGGGGCTCTCTTCAGTTTTCCGTAAAATTAAGCCTTAAGACAGGGTGATAGCAATGAGAAGTCAGACTGTTGGTGATTATGGTTAACGCTGTAGAACTACCCCTTCACCCCACTAAGAGTTGAATAAATGACTTAAATAGTTTCTTTAGAAAATAGTTGTTGCAATTTCTGGAGAGAAGTAAATGACAGATCAAGGACTTAGCAGCAGCGATTGCAAGGGACAATGAAAGTTGAGGATCTAGATTGTAAAAGGAGATTATAGTTCTTTCTTTAAATAAAAGGAATGTATTTTTGCCTATGATTCCTGTCTTACTTATGTTCTTTTTTTTTTTTTTTTAATGTTGCAGTGTGCAAAGATCCACCTTACAAAGTAGAAGAATCTGGGTATGCTGGTTTCATTTTGCCAATTGAGGTTTATTTTAAAAACAAGGTACGTAATCTTCACCCATTAATCTTTCAGTAGAAGAGCCTCCCCTAACCAAATTTTTCAATTATTTGATTCATAAACACTTCTATCATTACATGATTTTAAAATAAAAGTTAAATTTGTCTTTGAGGAATTTTGGCTCTCATTACCCTTAATTATAGAGGAAGTGGCTAGAAAAAGATCAGTTCAGTTCTATGGGGCGAGAGTACATGAGATTCACTAAATGTTCCTTTTAAGAGAAGAGTGATTACCATTTTCAAAAAGAAGATTAATATGTTTGTAAAATGAAAAGATAAATTATGGCTTCACGGTGAAATGCCCTTTACTTATTTTCATATTTCCAGAATTTTTGAGGCTTGCAAAGAGTAATCTCTCATTTCATCTTTTGCTAACACACACATAATTATTTTAAATTGAGATATTATGGATTCTATGGAATTTTAATAGTTTTTAACAGTACTAATTTGGTGGAACACATAGACGATGTGATACTGTTAAAATATTGTTCAACCTTAGCTGTAAAATTGGGGATTGGATAATGAGAGAGCCTGCCTCATAGGCCATTGTGAGGACAAGTTCAATTAAATCTCTGGAGAATATTTACAACAGTGCCTCATACAAGCGCTTAAAAACTTGAGCTGTTTATTTTAAATCTATCCTTTTCCTTCTCTTTTCACAAAATTATCATATATTCTACAACCTTCCTAAAGTGAAATAATTCACTTTTAATTAAGCTGTAATAAAACCATTCTGTAAAGTAGGAATTAATGAATGACGGAAATAGATTTTACTTTCCATACTTTTCTTGTGGGTTTTTCCCCTGAGTCTGTGTTCTCTTGTATATATCCCCCTTATGGTACAAACTTGCTGTCCCCATGAGTTGAGGTGTTCTTAGATTTGTATTTTGAGGACTCATTTGACAGTAATTCCTTTGTGTAGTAAAACATTGAGTACTTGCATTACCTTTGGTGCTCTGCTGAATCCTTTACATATGTTTATTTCATTTAGTAAATGTATAAGAACTTTTGAGAGGTAATTGCACTTGTCCTTTTTAAAGTAATAAAAGTTTGAGTAGCTTTCTAAGAGTTGAAAAGCGTTAACACTAGATTCTTGATGTATGCCTTTCTGACTATTGGTAACCCAGGCGTGCCCCGGCTTACAAAGTGCTTATAGTTCCAAGGCAACCCAAAAAAAGCATATTAAAATTTTGAGGTACATATAATGATTCATAATAACAAATGGGCACTACTTGGTGACTCACATCAAAACATTAGTATGGTTACTGCATTATTATGCCAAAGATGGTATAGTGTATCTGTGAAAGTTTCGTATTTTTTATGTATTGGAAAGTGCACTATATACTATTACGACGAAAAATATTTGACTAACTGAAGTTAGATACTAACTGTGGAACTATTCCTACTTTAGTACAAATAAAGGTGGGTTTATTATGAAGCTGTGTAATTCTGGGACTGCCTGCACCCTAACTTTGATGCCTTAAGAGCAGTGAGTCAGGTTAAAATAGTGAATGCCTTCTTCAGGTGTAATGCCATGCAATTGTCCACATGTTTTTTCATCAAAACTGCATTTATTGTGATACCATCACTTTTTTTTCTCAACTTGGATTTTCCTTATAAAACTAGTTTATGATATTTTCTTAGTTTTAAATGAGATATACCATAAGATTAACTTTTATAAAGTGTACAAATCAGTGTTTTTAAAAATTCTATCCACAGAATCGTTCTACCTATTTCTAGAATATTATCATCACCCTGAAAAAGAAACACTGTACCTATTAGCAGTCACTTGTCACTTCCCCGCCTCAGTCCCTACCAACCATTATCTACTTCCTGTTTGTAAAGACTTATTCTGACCATTTCAACTAGATTAAAATAATAGAATATATGGCATTTTGTGTCTGATTTATTTGTTTATATGATGTTTTCAAGGTTCATCCATGTTGTATAATTTTTCAATACCTCATTCTTTTTTTTTAGTCAGTGAGTAATATTCAGTTACGAGTACTGGACTGCTAACCACAAAGTTGGTGATTGTAACCAACCAGCCACTCTTTGAAAACCCTATACAGGGTCACTATGAGTCGGAACCGACTGATGGCACTCACAATAACAATGATATGGATATATAGTATGTTTAGTTATGATGCAGTGTTGTCCCTAGTTTGTTATGGTCAACTCTGTGAATCATAACAAATTATGGATAACATTGCGAAGAATGAGAATTCTAGAGCACTTAATTGTATTCATGCAGAACTTGTACTTAGACTGAGAAACAGTCATTCAAACATAACAAAGGGATATTGTGTAGTTTAAAATCAGAAAAGATGTGTGTCAGCATAGTATCCTGTCACCAGCCTTACGCATCCTGTATGCTGAGCAAGTAATCTAAGAAACTGGACTATATGAGAAGAACCAGCATCAGGATTGGAGGAAGATTCATTAACACAACCTTGCTTACCAAAAATCAGGAGGACTTACTTGAAATACTTACTGATGAAGATCAAAGACTACAGTCTTCAGTATGGATTATAACCGAAAGCAAAAATCCTCACACCTGGGCCAATAAGCAGCATCATGATAAACAGGAAAGTTTAAACTTGTCAAGAGTTTCAGTTTACTTGGATCCATAGTCAACGCCCTTGGAAGTAATAGGAAATAAAACATAATGCATTGAGAAAACCTGCTGCAAAAGACTTTTTAAGAGCCCTTCTGCTCCCAACACAGTTTAATGTCTTAGGAGTATAATGAATAGATATCATATGGTGTTTTTCTTCCTCTTGTCATATCCACTATGTATTTAAAATAGGCCTCTGACTGCACTGTTGGAAAAGTCTAGACCTTGGATCCAGAGATGGTCTTGTCCAAAAGAAATGAGAGGATGGGTGGTCTATTCTGATCTCTTACGGAGGGCCATATGGCTAAACCACTCTCTTCCCACCACCTAAATTAATTGGATGTGTAATTGACTTCTGTCTGGAAGTTCACAACCTTCTCTCCTTTCTCTTTTTAAAAAAAAAATGGGGTCATTTTTAGAAGCTGCTGATTGAGCAGAGAAATCCAGTCTGTGAATTGCCCAATTTTCCTGTTGTAACAAATGACTTGAATGACCTCATAAATGTATTTTTGAAAAACATGACAATTGAAGACTAGGAAGCATCAACTTGCCCACTACCTCTTCCCCCCACTCTATCCGCCATAAACTCAGTCATCTTGAAATTCATAGAACAGAGTAAAAAAGCATAATGAAGGCTTTTTGAGTAGTCATTTATATACCTGTCTGTAAGACGTATTATTTACTTTGCAAGGAATTTTAGTTTCTTAAAGTACAAAGCACAAGACACATGTGACTGAAAGCCATTTTTCCTTTAAGGCCTCTACAATCTGACAATTAGGCTGAATACCATTAAGTAGATTTTCCATTTAGTATATAAATTTGCTTATTTCTTTTTTCTAGTGTAATGTGCCCCTAAGGAGACATATATGTGTTTTTGTAATATGAAAATGTAATGGTACACCTGATTGGCCCTATATAATGAGGTGGGTGGAAGGAATCCTAGAGGTCAAGTAGTTAAAGTGCTCAGTGCTGGGTGAAAGGTCAATGGTTTGAACTCACCAGCCATTCCATGGAAGATCGATGTGGCCGTCTGTTCCTGTAAAGACTGTTGTTCTTAGGTGCTATTGAGTTGGTGATGACTCATAGTGAGCGACCTAATGTACGGTTCGGTCCTGCTCCATCTTTACAATCATTGTCAAGCTTGAGCCCATTGCTGTAGCCACTGTATCAGTCCATCTTGTTAGAGGTCTTACTGTTTTTTGCTGACCTTCCACTTTATCTTGCATGGTGTCCATTTTCAGGGACTAGTCCCTCCTGACAATATGTCCTAAGTATGAGAGACGTAGATTCACCATCCTGGCTTCTAAGGAGCATTCTGGTTGTAATTCTTCCAACAAAGATTTGTTTACTCTTCTAGCAGTCCATGGTACTTTTAATATTCTTCTCTAACACCACAACTCAAATGCATCAATTCTTCTATTGGTCTTCCTTATTCATTGTCGAATGTTCACAGGTATAGGAAGCTGTTGAAAATACCATGGCTTGGGTCAGACACACTTTAGTTCTCACACTGACATCTTCACTCTTGAGCACTTTAAAGAGGTCTTGTGCACATTTGCCTAATTCAATTCATTGTTTGGTTTCTTGATGGCTGCTTCCATAAGAGTTGCTAGTGGAGCCAGGCAAAATGAAGACTTTGACAAGTTCAATCTTTTGTCCATTTATCTTGATGTTATTTATTGGTCCAGCGGTGAGGGTTTTTGTTTCCTTTACATTGAGGTGCAATTCATACTGCAAGCTGTGGTCTTTGATCTCATCAGTAAGTATTTTAAGTCACCCTCGCTTTTAGCATGCATGAGTATATCAGCTGCAAATCACAGGTTGTTAATGAGTCTTCTTCAATCCTGATATCACATCCTTTTTCATATAATCCAACTTCTCACTTCTCAGATTACTTACTCAGTGTACAGATAGAATAAGTATGGTGAAAGAATACAACTCTGGCACACACCGTTTCTAATTTTAAACCTTTGTCTGTTTCATCAACTGCTTCTTGGTCTAGGTACAGGTTCCTCACAAGCACAGTTAAGTGTTCTGGATATTCATTCCCTGCAATGTTGTCTATAGTTTGTCATGAACCACACAGTTGAAAGCATTTGCTTAGTCAGTAAAGCACAGGTAAACATCTTTCTGGTATTTTCTGCTTTCAGCCAAGATCCATCTGATGCCAAAATGCTAATTCTCATTCCACGTCCATATTTGAATCTGCCTTGAATCTTTGGCAGTTCCCTGTCAATGTACTGTTAAAGCCATTTTTTAATTATCTTGAACAGTATTTTACTTACATGTAATATTAATGATATTGTCCAACGGCTTCTGCATTCTTTTGGGCCACCTCTCTTTGGAATGAGCGCAAATACAGATCTCTT